CCGTTACAGCAGTATTAGAAAACTGCTGAACGACGAGTTTTAATGGTAATCCATGGTCTGACTGTTTATGTATTGCTTCAGAAAGCAAACATTGCATAGATACTGATAGAACCTGACCTGCTTTCTTGTAAGGAGCTTCTTTTTCATCAACGCCCTTCTCTTCGTTGATTGGTGCAGAGGATCGGCCTTCAGGATGACCAACTTGAGTCTCCTCAACTGCCATCTTGTAAGTAAAAATTTCTGGTTCTTCACAAACTGTCGATTTCTCCGAAGCAGACGATGCTCCAGCTGATTCTTCTTCTACTCTATTGAGCTCCTCAGGTTTATCTTCTTCTTCTTCAACAGAATGCTTATTCTCACTTGGAACTTGAACAGGTTCGTCTGTCGCTTCTTTGATTGCATCGGCCTCCTCTGAGCCCTCTCTTTGTCCTTTTACACGGTCATCAAAATGGAAGACATTATATTCTGCTACTTCGCCTTCTGCTTCTACGGTGGAGTCATCTATAGAGCGCTCAGCAGTGTCATTTTCTTGGACCGCCTGTTCCTCATCTTTTTTCTGTACTCCCTCAAAATCATTCGATTCCTCAGGCGATTCCTGTCCAATTTCCTCTCGCGTTGTAGTAGAAAGCACCTCTTCAACTTGATTGTCAATATACTTGGAGGAGTCGCACCATTTTATGATACTCGACAGAGAGACAAAGTGGAAGAGGGCATAATAAGCAGTGACCCCACAGAGTAGAGGAGCTAAGAAAACTCCACCAATCAACATGAATACTATGACCAGAGGAGCTAAAAATGGGAGTAATATCAATACTACCATGGATATTAACCGACGACTCCGCGTTTGCAACGCAAAATTTGCTCCCTTCTTGGCTTGTGCATAAAGATTGTACACACCATCGTAGCTCTGACTCCACACATCATTATCATCCGAGCGGGCCATGACCATATTTCTTCGCAATCTCAGTAAATAATCTTCTTCAGGCACTTATCGTCTACACTCATTCGCATGTTAGAGAGCGAGTCCTCCATACACCTATAGGTAACAGCTTAATAATAAGCGATTTCGTTGTGACTGGAACTTAAACCAGAAATCCATCACCTCTGCCGTAATAACGTAAAATTCCCTTGTTCGTTAAGGCCTGCCAGTGCCATCTTCTCACTTCACAACACGACATACACAAAAAATGAATTCGATTACACGAAAAATGGCTAACAAAGATGAATTCAAAAGCATTTGCATGGAAAAGAAATTCTGTACCTCCCATGTTATCATCATCCCTGTAAAAGTAACATGCAAGCATACATCAGCTCACTACTACCATACTTAACCGGAACATAATCACGAGCAACTGAAGCAGTGATACGGACACATTCCCATGTTCTCAATGGCCATCCTCCAGATTACTTACAACCCTGAAATGAGAGTTTTTTGTGTAGGAACACATGTCTATCATATAAAAGTATACAGAGGAAGAGCAATCCAGGTTCTCTGCAAAGTTGGAATGTTGCACGGAACATGACCACGAAGCAGGGCTCAAGTACAATCAATCACGCAGCATTCATTGACCACAATACCACAGTACACTCATTTCGAAAGCACCCAAAGTCACAGCCGAAAAGGACCAAAACTAAACCTTCCTCAGCTCCTCCGCTAAGCCTCAAAAACCCTACGTCGGGACGACGTCTAAACTACTTGAAAATCACATAGGACGAAGAGCACCAACAAAAATAACAAAAAACAAAAAACAAAGAAAAAAAATGACAAACAGATAAACCACGCAGTCAGGATCGTTACCATTTCCACAATACATACACACCTCACCATCATGTGACAGCATTTCAAACGTTGCCAAGAACAAGTTCACGTCCAGCTCCACCACACAACTAAAGTCTGTTCCGAGAAGTCACCCAACATTCGAACATGCAACCAAATGCAAAAAGCTTCTAGACTGCACTCAGTGTCACAGAAACTATAACACCACAGCATGCAACACCAAATGCAAAAAGCTTCTAGACTGCACTCAGTGTCACAGAAACTATAACACCACAGCATGGAACAAATTGCTTGATACCTGCGTGCCTTATCCCCCCGAGAAGAAGAAGCAACAACTCTCTCTCTCTCTCACCGAAGCACCAAATTCCGCAACCCAGAGCTCAATGCAAAGCCTTCCACCATGCGAGTGGCGATGCCTGCAAATAAGTTGGAATCCCGGGCCCTGCTGTGGCCGCATTAGTCGTCAAGTTGGTGAGGATTGGCGCTTGGATTAGAGTGCGCGAGATGGCAACACCGCTCGGCTGGTCCTCACCCCGCCCTCGCTCTTGTGTCGCCTTCTGGGGAAAGTATCGGTGCCAAGTGGACACCGGGGGTCCCCCCGCTCATGCTTGATGGATGAATGTCATTCCACTAGGTCATGACGGAAGGATGAACGATAGTCCCCTAGGTCGTGCTTGCTGGATGGATAGATGAACACTGGTTCCCTAGGTCGTGCTTTTTGGATGGACGTGGATTCACTAGGGCCCGTCCTTGTGAAGGCTTGTCCTCTGTTCCATGCCTGCATACCAAACATGATATATTTTAAAACAAATTCCTCCTTGCAAGTTAAACCTTGCTTGCATGTGTGACACGTGAAGGTTTCTAATTATTCAAGCTATTCACAAAGGGTCTTGCAAAACCCTTCCTGGTCAATGTAGACTGGACTTTCGTTTTTGTTGAATTTGAGTTTGGAATATCATATGAAATCTTGAAAGATGTCCAATGGAAAATTTGTTGTGTTTGAAGGAGTTGTGAGAAAAAAGTGAATGGGTTTTGAATGTTGTTTGCAATGTATAATACAACTATAATACTTTAAATTTCTATTGATTTCATTTAAAATCAATATTAAACTAAAATATTTTAATATATATAATATTAATATCATGCTTTATTTTTTGGATTTTGTGTAAAAAAACAAATCTGCTCAATAGCTAATTTGCTAGAAACACTCATATTTGAAATCAATTAATATTGTCCAAATAATGACTAAATTTTGTATCTTTGTAATTGTTAAAAGTGACTCCAATACTATTTATCTCACTGTGAGTCTTACAAACAAATTGACAATAAAATAAACAAAAGTGGTTGGATGAAATAAATAAATAAATACTGCCCAAGTAGCTTTTGAATATAAATAGAATTATTATCTTTCTTATTCTCATCATAAATAAATAAAATAAATTCAAAACCTAATGCTTTGATGTTCAACATTTCAATAAAAAAATTATTACTATTTTCATGTACACACGATATGTATAAAAACGATATGTTTACATATATATATATATATATATATATATATATAAAATGTTTGGAAGTACAAATCAAATCAAACCATTTACAAATTTGTATATAGGGATGGAAACTTTGTAAGGGTGACACTTGTGAATTTTTCAAAACATTGTTGCTGCTGCTGCCTTGATTTGGAGTTTTTTCTAACAAACATTAGAGGGTTTGCTCGAGAACCAGAAATTGGGCTCGGTTGAGAAATTCACATTCCATGACCTCGGAGATCGAAATTCGAATGGGGAAGGTCTTATTTGTAGTTGTTGGGTTTGATTCCTGAGATTAGGATAATACCTTTGTGCTTAGACAATCGTTCATCACAGCTTTACTACTGCGATGAGGCGGACGATTTGCTGATGGTTCCTTTCTAGCAATCATTTTCACGTTCATGTCGACATTACTCTTATATTTGTCAGAGTTCGTTCTTTGAGCTCTTTCATTGAATAACGTCAATATTATTTTTGATGAGCGTTCTTCCGCGTCTGACAAATTCAGGGAACAGGTTAGGGTCCAGGACTTTCTTCAGTGGTGACTAATCGACGGTATTGAATTGTAGCACTTGTTTTTGCCGCTGTTTCGTATATTTTGCCTTTTTATTACAAAGTTAGCTCTGATTGCAGTGCAGGATTGATACTGTTGAGAATGGTATGAGACATGGTACCAGGATGATGGTGTTTTTCTAATTGTTTTTCCTTATGAGGCAAGCCCTTGAATACATGGGTAGAGTCTACATTCAGAAGCTCACTGACCTTAATTATATTACAGGTTCATAAATAACATCCAGCACGGTGGAATGAAGAGCGCGAAGTTGATGTTGGTGGCTTAAGTTCTAGAACCTCCTCTCTTCCAAATAGTCTGATAGAATTCGCCCGGCATAGGTTTTACAAAACAAGAATAGGATGTAGTTGAGAGCTCACTTCCTAGCTGTTTTTATCTCTACAGTCTTGCAGACTCTTCAGTAACGACTATTCTTTGCGCTTGCGAATTCTCCATTTTGAATTGGTTGCCTCTGCACAGGTTGCCTTTCCACCGCAAAGCACTACACCGTAACTCACCCCTGGATCCCATTTCATATGTGTGACCCAATTGAAGCTTATGAAGGTGCATGCAGTCAATTGTCACACACGTGAACAACACATGTGCACCAGCTTTTATTGAAGATATGGAAAGGAACTTTTGCAACAGAAACTTTGTTGTATTCTATTGAGACCGTTCAGGCATGCGTTACACCTGTTGTCTCTGTGTCGATTTCCAAGTTAGAACAGGCAATTCGTGCCCAGTAATTATATGTTCGGTTTATTTTGTTTTCATTCTCTGTGCCGAACTGGCTCGAAGAATGACGGCACGAGTCGCTGCAGGGATGAGGCAATGCAGTTGGGGAGCGATCAATGGACAGTGTCCAATGTCCCACTTCCTGGGAGAGACACGCAAACGAGTAGAGCAAGGCCCAAGTGAGAGAGATCTTTGGAAGCACCGCGGTGTCCAAGTTTAGCAATTCGTGACCGGTTAACCGAAAGCATGAATGACATTTCCGCCGTTGAAATATATTTATCTCGGATGTGATTGAACTGGTTTGAAAATTAGAATAGAATAATGTGTGGGTGGGGCGAAAAAGCCCCATTCCCGCGGGGAGCTCGGTGCCCGCGCGGACCTATCCTGAGAGAGCGGCTATAGCGGAGAAAGGAGCTTGAGGTATCGAGTGACCGGAGGTGAAGGGTAGCGATTGCAAAGGAAAACCCACCGCTCCCGCCAGTGCTGTGATTTTCTGACCACGTTTTTGGAGTTTGGGTGTCTTGTTTAGGGTGTGCCGCTCATTGCCCGAAGCTGTCTTTGCGGTTTAGGTTTGCAATCATGGCAGCTACTTCTGCATGCGTCGTGTCGTCCGTGGTCGCCGCCAGTACCGCCAACAGCCATGTTGCCACTGCGACCAGGACCATCGCTTCCTATGGGACGTTGCTGTCCACTCGCCGGGCTTCCTTCAAGACCGGCGTCGTGGTTCCGGCCACCGCTCGCAGTGCTGCCTTTCGAACTGGTACGATTTTGGTTACTCGTGCATACAACTGAATTCTGTGCGGCGAAGTCTACATTTCTGGGTGCATATAGCACTTTGAACGCTTTCACTCTGAAATCCCCATGAATCGGATGTTTGAGGGTATAGCCTTGAGCTGTGTTGTGTCGGAGTCTGTAGCGGCCTAATTGTTGTGTGTTTCCTGCCCAAGCCAAGTTTTATGCTCAGTCTTCTTGATGCACAGCACAGATGAGATAAGTTCTGCCTGTAGTGATTTTATTTATTTATTTTGTTTTAATTCGGTTTAGGGATTCGCTGTACTATTATTATTATTATTTTAAAGGATTTTCTTCCCTAATGCAGCCCATTTCTGAAAATCCACGGGCCTTTTGGAAAGGAGGGGCTCACCGTGATGCGTTGATTGTGAAATAAGAGTTGTCGCCTTTGTTTTGACTAATTGTTGTCGCCTTGCCTGATTGATACGAATTGTCATGTTCTGATTTTTTTTTTTTTTAAGCAGAGCAATCTGCCAACGATTGTATCGCGGCAAGAATTAGACCTCTCTCTCTCTCTCGCTCGCTCTCTCCCCCCCCTCCCTTACATATATATATATATATTCACGAATGTGGGATGTGTTAACTCCTCTGTTACTGATGTTTAGCCTCATTGCCCTTTCACACTCTGCATAGTTCCCTCTTGCTAAATTTGTTGTCATGTCTCCGTGTTGTGGTTGGCAGAGCCTAAGAAATATTTGACAATTGTTGCCGCGAAGGCAACAAAGGATCCCGAGACGACGGTTGAATCAACTGTGGATGATACGTCTGCTGCATTCGAAGACGCACTCAAAAGCGTTCAAGAAGCGGTAAGAGTCCAACACTAGCGCTGAGCTCTAGGTTTATTGTTAATGTTCGATTCATGTGGCCCAAATTCTGTTATTTAATCAATTAAGGACGCATCATTTCACGTGTAAAAGCCATCACAATAGAATCTTGTGGCTGTTTTAGTTATGCACGTTTCATCGGGACGCCCTCATGTAATTTATTGACTTTTGCTTAGGAATCAAGCTTTGTTACGTCTTGGTTTTCACTGTGACATTTTGAAATGACAACATGATTACTTTTTCAGTGGGAGAAGACGGACGACAAAGTCGCCATTGCAGGATTAGGATTGGCGGGACTTGTTGCCATCTGGTCTGCTGCCGGCCTTATTAACGTAAGCGCATGTAAAATAACTATAGTTTTCTGTTCATGAGCATGCCGATCGAACATTTAATTTTCGAGTTCTTTAGATGGTTTACAATTGTCTCTGCTCCAAGATTGTTGCTAAAAATGATTTATTTATTTATTTATTTATTTATTATGATCATAAATACGTTTTCTAACGAGCTGCACTTTATTTCGACTTGGATGGTTGCTTTGAGGTCATTTTTGGATAGGGAGGTGTTGAGTTGTGAATTAATCTTCTAATGCATTTTTTTGTAAATATGCAGGCGGTTGACAAGCTACCCCTCATTCCTGACTTTTTTGAATTCGTTGGAATTTTGTTCTCTGGGGTAAGTTTCTGCTTCACATCTGGTAGCAGCTTTGCTATGAACGAGTTCCGATTATTTGGGTCGCTCTGGTTAGACTCATTAGAAAATTGTTGATATTCGTCAGATGTTATATTCTGCAAGTAATGATTCACTATTGATATTCTTGTGTAGTTTGTGGCAATGTTTAATGTCACCTGGTCTGAGGTGTGAATTGGAAACCCATATCTAACCTTTTAGTATTTTTTGCCAGTGGTTTGTGTACCGATACTTGCTCTTCAAGCCCGACAGGTTTGTTGATTCCCTAACTCATCATCGTTGCTACTTGTAGATTGTTCTTGTGGTTCCTTTTACTTCATATTTGTAGGTCCAGCCTTTCAAGAATTCAGCTCTCGTGATCTTTCATATCCTTGCGTAACTTTCGCTAGGTCAGTGTTTTGGGGACTTGTTTAATCATTTGCTAATGTGAATCACTTCGTGCTTTTTCAGGGAAGTGCTGTTCAAGTTCATTGACGAGACTATGACAAAGATTACTGGCCAGTGAGTTTGAGCAGTATTGTAAAATTACATTTTTCTCCCTGTAATGGAAATGAGTTGCAGTTTTACTGCACGAGTTGCCTCCTTAGTACTTGCAAATCTGTTACCATTAGATTGGTGTCTTAGGATACAAGCCTTTCGTTCTTTTCTGGCCATCAACATAGTGAATCGGAAATCTGTGGAGTTCAAGGTTTAGAACATTTATCTGGTTTAACCGCTGGTTACAACTGGCTCAATGATCTTCTGATCGGTGTGCAAATTTACTTTCTGTTATTCATGGGGGCTGGGACTGACACATAGGGAAAGTGTGTGGAATATTGTCATTTTTCATTGTGCATAAACTGTTTTGATTAATTATCTAGTTATACATTGTTCTCTTGTCCATTTGAAATACAAGTCTATGTACGGTTCTATTTTGAAGCTCTATCGTGGCACCCAAAGCGGTCATGAACTGTGCCAAAGGCGAACATGAGAAAGTACTGGCTTTCAGTATTTTCTTGTTATTGTCTGCTGCTGCGTCAACTGTTGATAAATGTACAAGTGCTCCTTGCAGAGTTACATGGGCGTGTTGTACAGATCCTGGTACAACTCTTGATGCCCATCACTAAAACATACCAATGATAACATAATTAGTCTATTAGTTTTTAGTTTGTAATGTATTATCTTTGAAATGTAAAATTTGGTGTCATTTAAACAATTTGCAGTGTTTGAATTACTTATGTGCAGCAGATGAACATTTCTTTGAAAAAAGTCCTTGAGAAAACAAATGTGGTACAGTACAAAGCCAATATGTATATGATAAGTTGATTGATGTGGTAAATTAAGGCCAGAAAGTTAAATCATAGCATTAAAAAAGATGAAATGTTTAGATCAAAAGTGGGAAAGTAGTGTATGAAATTATGAAAATAATATGATAGAAGGGAGTAGATATTTATTTAAAGAGGGTAGTTATTCAAGGAGTGGAGGTAAAATATTTCATGAGCAAAGGAGGACATTTTATTGAAGGGTGGAATAGGTTAATTTAACTGAATTGTATTAATAGATAGTTTACTACTTGAAGTTTTTACTTGTCACTTTGTTTAAAGTAATTTTTAAAACTTAAAATTAGTTGATTGAATTTTCAAAAACGTGTGTTATTTCTTGCACATACTTAGATAAATAGATAAATAAATAAATAAAATTATATATATATATATATATATTATGTAATAATTGTGTAATAATTGAAAATATATATTGTGTAATAATTGAATATTTTATTATAATTGTGTGAATATTGTGTAAAGAGGTTTATATATATATATTTTAAACTTATTTATTTTATAATCTTTGTGTAAATTAAGTTTTGTTTAATCATTTACATAATTTGTTACTAATATATATGTGTTTATAACTTTTTTTTATATATTTATATTAAAAAATTGTATGCTTTATAACATTCTTCATACAAAAGTAAGGACCACTCTTTCACAATAACAACTTGCTTGGAAGTTCTATCTTAGAAAACCTAATTTCATGTTGTCTTTGGTCTCTTTGAAGTATTTTTTTCCTTACTTGTGCTACAACAATTGGCAAAACATTTAACCTAGAATTTTTATCCCAAAACAAAGTTGGATGCAACCTTGTATTAAGTCAATGTAATTCTAATCTACTATTGTTACATTCTTTTAAATATCTTTTAAAATATCAAATCTAATCTTCACCTATTTTTTTAGTACATAAAATTTCCAAGTAGATTCATTGTTAGCACTCTATTATTGGTCTCCAATTTCACTAAGAATGTTCCACCCTACTATTGTCACAATCTAAATACTAAATGAAAAGACAAAGATAACAAGAAAGATTTTTATTTCTTATCTATATACACAATAAGATCTATTGTTGAAAAAATTTGTATGACTTATAGACAAATGAGATGCTAATTATATATTTAAAATTATCCAAATAAATGTCAATAAAAAATTATTAATTTTATATCTTTATTTCTTTGTAAAATATGATTTTATATTTAATTAGTTACAAAATGTAAGCACTTAAAATATTAACATATTATTACCAATAATTTTCAACAAAAATGTCATTGTCATATTATGTATCATCTTATTTGAGAATGTACCATACACTTGGTTAACCTTAAACAAATCTTTAAAATAAAATCCCAAAGACAACATAAAGATATCCTAAAGAAATTCTAAATAAATTCTAAAAAATCATGATAAAATCTTAAAGATATCCAAATCAAATTACAACTAAATTCTAACCAAATCTTAACTAAATTCTAATTATAACATTAACAAACCGCAAGTAAATCCTAAAAACTCAAAAAAAATCCAAATCAATCCTAACCAAATCCTATAGAAATTTAAAATATAAATAATTATTAATTAAAATCCTTGGTGATAATCATACAAAATATTTATTTAAATTAACTATAAATTCTGTTTTCTATTAAAAAAGACATAAGTTCCTTCTTATGCTTCTTTTACCTACTAATTAATATTTATAGGTTTCTTAAATAATAATACATATAGATGGAAGGCCAATATAGACATTGGTCTCAATAACTAAACAATAGTTTTTATAATTAAAAAAAAAAAAAAAACTAATCCAACTAAGCTAATTGTATCCAAGACTTATTAAAACTTTAATTTTATGACTTTTTATCTAATAAGACTTTTGTAACTTATAAACCCTTTTAAATTCTAATAAATACTTATATAATCAAATAGACTTTTTAATATTAATATTTTAATATTTAAATAACTTAAAATTATATTTTTAATAATTCTACTAATTAAGATCCATTAATAGGACTAAAATCTATAAAAAATATTACAAAGTGAAAGATACACCAAATTTAAATATAATAGGTGGCAATATCATCTAACACATATTTTCACTTTAGATCTAAAAGGATGTTGTCAATAAAAAAATTGTATCCTTTGTGAGATATTTTCTACATTTGAAATTGAACTTCATATGCATTCACTAATAATGTAACTGTGCCAATATGAAAAGTACTTTAGTTGTCCTCACTTTAGTCTCAAATCAATTACTTCTTCTACTTCAAATTTTTCATGGTTATCCACTTCAATATAAGATGGTGGTGGCTATACTTTTCTTGATATGCTTGATTCTTTATAAGATTTTAAAAGAGAGTTGTGAAAAACATGATGTACCTTCATAGATGTTGGTAAAATATCCAATTGTCTTGTTAGTAGTTCATGATATATCTCAAGTATTGTTTTAGGATGTGATTGACTTGTTCCATTTGGCTATTAATTTGAAGATAGAACATTGAAAAGATGTTAATGTCTACTTAAAATTTATATAAAAAAAGAACTTCTAAAATTTAAATATGTTTCTTGATGTGATATAATATTATTTAAAAATCTATGTTATTAATAGATATAATCAATGAAAAATTTGGATTTTTTTCATGAATATTGATATTCTTATAAGAAAAAAAATGTGCCATTTTAAAAAATTGATTGATAATTATTTATATGATATCAAAAAAATTCACAGTAGGAAGTTTTTATGTCACAAACATAACCAATATTAGAAATTAATTAGATAAAAAGAATAAAATAAAATAAATAAAAATAGATAAATTTGATAATATCTTATGATTTCTTTTTAAAATCTTCATAGACAAAGATTTGAGTTTATACATCTTTGTAGATGATTGATAGGTTAAAAACTTAACCAATAAATTAGCCATGTGATGTATACATTAAAATCTTGCTTTGTAAGTTAGACATGTCTTTTATAAGTTGGACAAGTGTTAAAGGTCCTATAGAACATTTCTACATAGCTTTTAGTTTGATGGTATATATATCTATATATACATATATAGAGAGACAAAAAATATGCCTTCTTTATTATGATCAACTCCTTCTTGCTCCTACTCTAATTTTAAAAGTCCCTAGTTTTTTTAGTCTTTCATAATAGCCATTTTAGTTTTTTTAATACAAATAAATGAATATTTATTTATTATCTTTCTTTGATATATTTCTTACTTATTTATGTACATTTTTTTGAATTCTTGTCTTTGATAGAATGATAAAAGTACACTTATAATATGAGTACTTTGTCTTTTCTTAATTAAGTATGAATTATCTATTTTTAATACATAAGTATATTAGAAATTATAGATTAGCCACTTTTAAACAAATGCTATTTTTATATGTATATTTTTTTATTGTCAAATCTTTTTTGATACTTGTCTCGAGTGATTTTTTAAATTTTATTTTTTTAGCTAAGCTTATTGACAAAAAGAATAGAATTGCAAAAATACAAGAACACATGAGGGAATTAATTCTTGCAATGCATCAATTCAATTCACTATTATAAAGAATAAAAAAATTAATTGGAAGTAAAGATATAGAGATAATTGAAGTTATTTTAACATCTACACCAAATCATATTATTTTTTCTATGATAGAACATCTTTTCACTAGTAGAAAATAAAGACTTACCTTGCTTGAGAAGTTTATATCAAGCACATAATTAGAAACCAATAAGACTTCAATACATTCTTTTTTTTTGGAAATAAAAATAAAAATTACTCAAAATTAATATAGTATTGAAACTAAAATGACTATTGCTAATGAAAAGAAGATAAGACTCTTAAGTCAATACTACGGACTAAAAAGGCATTGACAAGAATAAAGAAGGCTTCACTCTTGCCTCTATATGTACTATCTAACTAAAAGCTAAATGGTGATGTTCTATAAAACTTCCAATATGTGTCCAATTTGTGAGATACATATGTAACTTATAAAGAAAGTTTTACATGTGTGCCATACAGTAAATTTCTACTATAAGTAGCCAATATTTATAATACTTGGCCAACCTTTTAACTAAGTTTTTAACTTACCAATGACGAATATATATATATATATATATATAATCAAAATAAATCTATCAAGCTTTTAACAAGTTTTTTCATAATATATTATTGAATGTATTTATTTCTACTTATCTCTTTTATGTATGTTTGTGATATTTTTTCTTTTTAAAAACATGTTCTACAAGGAGTAATAATCACATATTAAAGAAGTTCAAGATATAATAAATTATATTTGCTACATAATCTGATCTTTTTTCTATTTAAAGGTAGTTATTAGGTCTTCTTAGCTATTGATAGTATCTTATACTAAGATGAAAAGTCTACCTTGATATTTGATCATTGTTGAGGTCTTTGTAACTCCTTTCAAATAAAACATTTGAAATACTATCAAGGGTGGTTATTACCTTGAATAAAATCAACAAACATTATGATTTTCTTTCAAGGTTGTGATTCTAAACATGTTATATTTTATCATCTATTCAAGAAAGAACATGTTGTTTTTGAAGATCTTCATCTACATTA